ACAATAGCCAAGATATGGAAGCAACTTAAAAGTCCACTGACAGATGACTGGATACAGAAGATGTGGTGTGTACGTACGTACGTGTACACACACACACACACACACACACACACACACACACACACACACACACACGAATACTACTCAGCCATGAAAAAGAATAAAATAATGTCATTTGCAGCAACATGGTTGGACCTGGAGAGTGTCATACTAAGCGAAGTAAGTCACAGAAAGACAAATATTATGCAGTACCACTATGTGGAATCTAAAAAAGTGACACAAATGAACTTATTTACAAAACAGAAACAGATTCACAGACACAGAAAATAAACATGGTTACCAGGGGGAAAGTGGGTAGGAAGGGATAAATTAGGAGTCTAAGATTTGAAGATACTAACTACTATATATATAAAATAGATAAACAACAAGTTTCTACTATATAGCACAGAGAGCTATATTCAATATCTTGTAATAACTTACAATGAAAAAGAATATGAAAAGGAATATATGCATGTATATGTATGACTAAAACTTTATGCTATACACCAGAAATTGATACAACATTGTAAACTTCAGTAAAAAGAAAAAACTTCTGGTTACAGCAAAACTTCTAGAAGAGAATTTATTTAGCAAATCACCTAATTTTACAGATGGGAAAAATGAGATAGTCACAAAATTAGCTAAATTAAACTAAACTTACACACAGCTACTTCAAATTACAAGTGGATCAAACTTAGTTCTTCCCTCTAAAGAACGTGATTACATGTCACTCAGCCACAATCCCTAAATGCCAATTTATCAGCATTCTTGGATAACTTTTAATATCTGGTTACCCTCTTACTTCTTTCCCAGACTCAAAGGATTGCCTCATGGTATGAGCCCAAGATGAGGGGTGCTCCTGAGCATGGAGGGAGATGCTGAGCAGAGGAAAGGAACAGAGTCCCCACTTCTTTACAATGATCTTTGAATAGCCTGTAGGGAAGTTATTAACATCTCTCGCAGTGTCAAAAATATTTTTAAATGAATTTTCCTTTCTTTTTGTAATATCTAATGTAAAATAGCATGCTTGTGTATTCTAGAGGATATATTCACATAGGTAAGCACTTTAATAGAGTAGCTATTCAAAGGAGGGGAAGACAGAAGGAAAATCTGCTCATTTATGGTAAATGTCCTCAAAATGCAAGGCCCTAAAACTACACAATGTTTGTGACAGTATCTAGCAGAGTCCAACACACTGAAGACGCTCAGTATGATCATTTCCTCTCCTGAGTTATATGGAAAGATTCAAACTTTCATATTTCTCAATTGCCTTTTGATTCCTCTAAACTATCCCTGAGAAAATAAAGAAATAAGCCTGATAAGGATTTTTTATGCCCGCAGAGGCTTGTCTTCTTGCACTTGTATTTAACAACTCCATTATTCAACAGCAGAAATAAAAGAGCTGCTTTCAGTTAATCTGCAAAAACACGTCTTCTATGTCCAATTTAAATTTGAACCTACCCCCATTTTTTCATAACCAGCCAGAGCATAACACTTGCACAATGGCTTCTTTATAGCTAAAAAACTTAATGATGAGATTCTTTTCTTCTTTCTTTGGGATTTTTTTTAAAGCACACTGGTGCAAAATGAATACACAGACTTTGTATTTTTTTCTTCTCCAGTATTTTTTTTCATACAATATCTCCTTTCAGTATTACAACATTTTTCTGGGGTAAGACAGTGGAAGAACAGAAAGAACACTGGAGTGAGTATGAAATTAGAAACCATAGTTTAAAGTTTCAGGTCTGTCATTTAATTTTCTATGTTGTCTTGGACAACCATTTTAACTGGAATAGGGAATAATACCTATCCTGTAGTAACTGGAAAATATGAGGATATATACATAAGATCTCTGTAAGCTGTAGAAGGTATTTTTAAGGAGATAAACAAAAGATGAATTTATTTGACATCATATTATCAATAGCAGAGTGAAAATTAACCAAATTAATTAGGCCTGAATTTCTAGACAGTGGTGCCCTATTAGATCTGGAAGGTACCACTGAGAACGTGAGGTCTAAGACTTGCTAAAATTAAACCAGGAACACATGGAACTATCAGTAACAATCCTGTGTCAACTATACCTCCTCTAGAGCACCCTTTTTTTCAATTTATCAATCAGAGAGGTGTAGAAAAAAAAAAGGCAGGAAAGAAACACTATGAAAGCCCCACAAAATCTGAGTGTGAGGGATATGAACAACACTACACTAAGAGTGGAGAGCTCACTGTGTACTAAGCACTGTTCTTGGAGGGAGGCAGGTAAACAAATCACGTGTAAGTAGACAGTATGCTAGAAATATTGGTAAGTACTACGCACGGGTAAAGCAGAGGAAGGGCACAGGGAGTGCCCGGTGGCACGGAAGGGAGCAGGAGCCGAGGAAGGCAAGGTTTCACTGATACGGTAACCTGAAGGAAGTGAAGGGAGCCATTGGAGAAGACTGGGACGATAACCCAGGTCCAGAAGCAGGACTGAGGAAGCAGCGAGGGAGGGAGAGGGTGGTAATAGATAACAGAGGGGGTGGGGAGGAAGGAAGGGAAGGTTAAAACCTCACAGAGCAGATTTTATTCTGAGATAAGATGTCTTTGGAGGGTTGGGACAGATGAGTGACATATAACTGTGTTTTGTTTTTTTTTTCCAAATTTGTTAGCTGTGGAATCATTTGTTCAAAGAGATCCACAGAAGATAAAGATGCAAAGCAGATAAAATAGGAGCTGCTCTGGTTAAGAAAGGGGCACCAAGAGACCCAACTAAGTCTGCTGTTTCCACTTTCCCTCTCCTTCCTCTGAAGTAACAGTCTGAAAATGAGTACAGTCTGTAGGCTTCAAACTTTCGAAGCCTGCATCCAAAGAACTTTATAATCCAGCCCAGCCTAACTTTTCAAAAGGCCACTCCTAGGGAACAGCAAAAAGTCAAGCTGTCAACACACAGCAGAGGAGCAGATGCGCTGCCAGAAAGATCAGTCTTTGCACCACCTCTTATGAACCAGGCACCCCCGCCGCCCCATCCCTCAGGTGCTCCCTTTCAGGGTTTCCTTTGATATTCATTTAAAATTTATTTCACTTGTTTAAAAATGTTCTAGCAATACAGTGTGAGCTGCCTCTGAAGATGTATCTCCAGATTCAGCCTCCCCATCAGTTTACATTGTAGGAAAAATTTTTCTCCACAAGTGTTATTTCTTCTATCAGTAATGACCTCCCAGTTTGCTCTATTCCTATCCTACGCATCCATCAAAGTCTACTCTGTCAAGCCTTCCTCCCCACATTTTGACCCTTAGTTGGAATCCTATATATTTGGAGTGGGACAGGAACTTCCAGACCACTTAGTGTTCCTGTTCACTGCTCATTCCATGAACTAGCCCTTTGCAGATTTGGCTGGTCCTCTTCTAGCCTCTGTAAGTGCTTTTAGTGACAAACACATGCTAGCCCACAAGGCAGTCCATGCTCTTTCAGATGTACAGTTACTGTGAGAAAATTCTTTTTGTTGACGTAGAACCTGTTTCCTTCTTCCATTGGTTCTGCCCTTTGGTTCCAACAGAAAAGTCTGCCTCCTCCACTCCCTCCCCTCAGCCTGTATAGCTTACAACTGACCTTGTGTTTTTTTGGTTATTTTTTTTTTATTTATTTTTGCTTATTTTTTATAGGGGGGTGGTAATTAGGTTTCTTTGTTTATTTACGGTTTTAGAGAAGGTAGTGGGAATTGAACCCAGGACCTTGTGCATGCTAAGCATATGCTTTACCACTTGAGCTATACCCTCCCCCACTGACCTTGTGTTTTCTGCCAACCTGGCTCAACCCTTAAAAATCCTACTGACTCCCCAGCCATCACACAGGCCATCTCTGGACTCTGCCTTCAATCTGTAATGATTAGCTAACACAGCGGCAGGCAGCTTTGGTCTGCGTGTAGTCAGTCAAGAGTCTCCATCCCTTGCGACGAATTACATCCCCTTTCTGATTCTCTCCTTCCATCTCTCCTAGGACTTCCACACTTAGCCTTGCATTCATCATTATGCATTCTGTCAATGAGCATTTACTGAGCACTGTTAAGAACCAGGCTAGGCACTGAAAAACTAAAAGTCAATAGCATGTACTCAGCCCATAGAAGAGTAAGAGCAAGACATGCAAAATAACACCTGGGGAAGCTGGAGAAGTGTTCATTGGAGGAAGTGATGTCTGAGCCCGGGAGGAACTGTATCAACACCCAATGCTCACACAGCCTTCTGCTCCCAGCACCAAATGGTACCATGCTTTGCCCTCACTTGAAGTCGGGCAAATATGTAAATTTGGTAAAGCAGAGAAAGCCCCTCAGCCCCTGAGCCTCTCTGGAGGTGAGGGAAGGTCATCACTGAACTCACAGTCTGAAAGGGCAGTGGCAGAGGCTGACACAGTACCTGGCTACGTACAGTGTTGCTCAGGTGGTTGTCCTCGGACATCTGTGCATTCTGGAAGTAGGACAAGGGTGCAGGTAACTCTGTCATTGGAGCAACTGTATAGAAATACTTTTTCACAGAAAACAAAGCCTCTTGGGGTTCTGAAAAAGCAAAAAGAAAACAACCCTTTGTGCATTACAATGATACTTTTATCTTGAAACACTTTTATAAATTACTTTCAGCAAAAACAAACCTTTCTTTCATGTGTTCTCGTCCAGGCCAAGCTTTCTACGGACCTCGCAGGCTGCTGTCACTTGCAGGCTCCCAGATTAGGTCTGAAATAGGATTTTACCAGGTTACCCAGAGTTGGTCAAATCCTAGTAAATCCATTCACACCAATTAAATACTTTTAAGACTAATTTGTAAACCATATGTATACATTTGCCATGACCTTCAACTGACAAACTTTTGTCGGCTCAAGATATGAGTAGATCTACCTGAGAAACCAGATACTTTCAATCACAAAGATATCTAATGATTTCAGATTCACAGCAAAGGGAGCTGAATGATCTTAAAGAATGTTCTCATCAACATTCCTTTTCAATGCTGACCAATCCAACCTAATTTTTATATCTCCATAAAATTATTTGCCTAGTGCTTTTGATTTTGCAGAATTTCTTTTTATTATCTCATTTTCTCCTTATCACAATGTCCCAAGGCAGGGTAAACAGGTAACATCTCTTTTACAAAAGCACAAGGGGACCCAAATTCAGTGACTTGCTCAAAAGTACACAATCGGGCAGACCAGGGCAAAAACTGCAGACTCCTGACTCCCAGCTTCTTCTCTGCATCCTGGCACAGCCTTGTTTATGCATATCATCCTATCTCCCAGAGTCCACCCTCCTGGGGGGCCACACTCCCATTTGTCTGTCTACCTGAATTTATATCAGCTAATTCTTTGACTTCAATTTTCCCTTTCATTGAATGTCTCCAGAAATATAGAAGGAAAAAATCTGTTTGCATACCTAACCAGTATTCTAATTCACTTACAGTATCTAAAACATTACCACGTACATATTTAAATGAAAGCATTTTGCCAATGTTCTGTTTCATTTTCACTTTTAGCTTCAGGTAGAAGTACCCTCTAAATATTCCTTTTTTTTTATTCTAATGATTTTTCATCAAAAACACATAAAGCAACTTTTTCCTCTAGGAAAGGTACTGGGTTCAAATTAACTCTTAATTGCCTATATTTGGATCATTCAAATCATGACAAATTTTTAATCAAGGTATGCTTTCCCTTCTACCCTACATGCTTTTATGTACCTGCCTACCTTTCTCCTCCTCTCCAACTTTAGCCCAGTTAGCTGGACTAAGACGAGGGGATTGTAAACTGTTATTAACTACACAAGACAATTATGCGACCGTGTTTTAAATATAATGTAAATTTGTTTAAAAAATAAAGTAAATCAAAAATGCAAAGACAGACAATAGTTACTTTTACAGGGGTTACTCATTGGAAGGGGGTACACAGGAAGTTTTCGGGGTATTGGTAATGTTTCTTGATCTCGGTGCTGGATATACAGGGTGAGGTTTCAGTTTGTGAAAATTCACTGAGCTGTATACCTATGATCTGTGCACATTCCTAAATATTTCAATTTAATAATTCAAATGGATTTTTGTGGGAGTAAACCCACAAAAATATATTTAAGGTTTGGCAATATGTGTGTTAGCTTACCCAAAGAGAAGTGGATTCCAATAGAACAGTTATCTTTTCAAAGCACTGAAAGTAAATGTTCTGACCTATGCTTCCAGATTCTTTTTTTTTTAATGGAAGTGCTGCAGATTGAACCCAGGACGTCGTGCATGCTAAGCATAGGTTCTACCACTGAGCAACTGCCCTCCCCCAAGCTTCCAGATTCTTAAAAGCTGACTAATTGAAAAATTAACATTAATGTAGCATTTATGATCAGCAACAGAGCACATATTATTTTCTTCTTTTCCATAAAAACATTTAGTACAGCACCTACTACCTCAGCTAACCCAGAAATGTCACAGGATGGTAAACAGAAAAAGCTGCAATTGGTAACCTCCACTGGCTGCTCTGACGATTATACCATGTCATTTAAAGGCTAGCTTTATTATAGAAAAACCCTTAGAAATCTGTCATTAATATTCTTGTATGATCCCTCAGAAACAAAACAAGCAAGAGGCAAGAAAGGGCAATGCAGGCAAAAATAAAAAATAAAGTGCATTACATTTACAGGTAAAATATTAATAGAAGACAAATGATTACCCATTCACTAAATAGTTTACTGGCTATCTACTTGTATCAAAATCAAAGACAGACATTGAGAGGATTTAATTAATTATGTTCACTCCACCCATTTTACAGATGAAAGCAATGTGGCACATAGAAGTTCATAAACTTGCCCAAGGTCACATCCAGCAAGTAAAGGAGCAAAGCAAAAACTCAGGTATCACAATATGTTGACTCTGTGTAAAACTTCATCCCTGCCTTCTAAGAGTTTACAACAGTGAGCATCAAGAAACACTGGGCTGATTTTTATTACTAGTAAAACTACTGCTTAGAAGTAAATGAGATCTTTTTAAAAGAGTAATAAATGAGATCTTAGACTTCAATAACTGAATTATAAATTAAAAACTGAAGTGCAAAAAGCATTCCTTATATAGTCATAGTATTTATTTATTTATTTTTTCAAATAAGCTATAATGAGAATCTGGTCATTTTAATTTAAGTAGTTTCCATTATTAGCCTTATGCTTACAGGATCTATTCAGCTATTACAAGAAACCACACAAACTGACTATCACACTGGAGCTTTCTCAGACAAATCTTAAAAGAATCATCAATAATATAGCAGTCACTTCAGCATCTCCCAATACTACAGTTGGCCCTCCTTATCCTAGGGTTCTACATACGTGACTGAACCAATTACAGACAAAATATTTGACAAAATATTCCAGAAAGTTCCAAAAAATAAAACCTAAGTTTGCCTGGGTCAGCAAATATTTACATAGCATTTACACTGCACTTAGCATGATTTACATATCATTTTCATTGTATTAGGCGTTATAAGTAATCTAGAGATGATTTAAAGTATACAGGAAGATGTGTGTAGATTATATACAAATACTATGCATTTTACACAAGGGACTTGAGCATCTGAAGATTTTGGTATCCACACAGGTGGGGGTTAGTGGGAGTCCTGGAACCACTTCTCTGCCCCCAAAGTCCCCCAATTCTGAATACTGAGGGATGACTGTCACAAAGGCATATCAGTATTTATATGTGAAACACTAAGGCACAAGAAAGGTGAAACAATTTGCCAGTGCACAATTAAGAGGCAAGTAACAGCCAGATCTTCTGATGCCCCGCCCAGGTCTCTGCCAGTTAACCCAGAGAAAACTCATGCCTCCACTGATGTGTTAAAGATCACAGCTGCAGGGTGACCCTCCCTGGAAGAGCTGCTCTGTACGTGGAGCTCAGTAGGAAGCATAAGCAGGCAACAGGGCTAGCGAGCTAAATTTTCAGTCAGGCCTGGTGAACAAAGACTGTTGGTACAATGAAAGGAGCAAGCAAAGCCAGATTTGATTTTGGTCCAGTAACAGCTGAAGACAATTGATGACTGCATGGAGAAGGTCAACAACCCCACTGTTCTGCAGCATGGCGAAAGACACTAGTGGACTTTATAACATTCTTAGCAGCGCCCTGAGAACAAGAAAAGATAGCTGTTGAGAAGTGAGGATCTTTCATGTGACCTGGATTGCAGAGGGAGTGGGAGTAGGGATGTAAATAGATTTTGGTGTTTTCTCTCTCTGGCCACCTGCTAAAGACTTTCTGAAACTGACAAAGCACAATACTTGAATTCACTGTCATCCCATTTCCTTTTTCTCAAAACATTTGCTCGATCAGATAAAAGGAAAAAGACATCCTTCTCTGATCAGCAACTACAAAAACTAAAAAAAAAAAAAGCCCAGGAGAACACAAATAATCTCAAAGTTTAGACGTGCTGAATAGAGAAGCCTAATTGGAAAACCTTCTATCCATCAGCGCTTTAAAAAGTACCACAGGAGAAATGTTTAGAATCCCAAAGTGAAGTTTATTAAAAATCTCATTTAAGGAAGCACCAACAGAAAAGTACATTTCTGTCTCTCACTACATCCCAAGTTAACAACTAAACTATAGCATGTTTATTTAATTACTGATACCATTTTCCTTCCTCACGCTGAGATAAACATAAACAAAATGCGTATTCCACAGGAGCAAACATTTTCATGAAACTGTTTTTGTCACAATCTTCCCCAGTACAAAGGACTGTGGCTTGCTTTCATGAGTCTAGCCACCTGAACTAGCTTCCCCTTCACCTAGAAAACCACTAAAAAGTTTTCAAGTGCCAAATGAACTTGTGATTTATTCTCTTTCCACAAGAGAATTTAATCAGTCTTGGTGTTGCTCTGACAGCTTCTTCTAGGACAGGCAGCCCAAGTTCTGATTATATGGATGGGCTGCGTGAGCCTCTATTTGAGTTTTTAAAAGCTCAATGCAATAATAAATGTAACCAATCTCCAAATTGCACTCTATAATTAAAATCAATAAAAATAATTTCAAATGAGTTTAAAACTTCAGTAATACATCCTGGAAAGATATTCAGAATTTTAAGAGACTAGGAGCAAATAATTTCCCTAGCCCTACAAGAGGCTTTGTGAAAGCGGTAGGCCCTAAAAAGAGCAAGGACAGTGATACACCCTATTTGGTGATTTTTTTCCTCCTTCCTTCCCACTCTACTTCTGTGAACCATCTGTGGTAGATTAGATTATTATTCAGCAAATCTTGCACTCCCTCGCCCAGCATCCCCAACAGAGGAATATCTTTCCCCTCTGCAGTGATGTTGAGCTTGGCTCTGACTTGCTTTGGCCTCAAGGTGGGTGCAGTCTACTACCCACTCCATGCCTTTGAGCACAATCTTATGACGTGCTTTGGCTGATGGGATCTTAGGAGATGTGGCACAACAGACAGTTAAACTGTACTTGCGCAGGTGGCCTTGCTTTCTTGTACTTCGGCTGCTGCATCAAGGAGAACTTACTTTGGGTAGCCACTGTCCCTTCAGCTAGGGCCCCAGAATAAGACATGCAAAGCAGAACTGCCCTAGCTGATCCACAGACCCACACCTTTAAGCCAAGCTAGAACTAATGCTTTAAGGCACTGAAGGTCTGTTATGTAGCATTACCACAGTTGTTTTCAAATAATAATGGTTATGTGGACACAGAAGATGCAATAAAGATGAACAAGGCTTACAAATCCAAAATCCTTTACCTGAAATCTTTAGGACTAAATATGTTTAGAATGTATATATTTGTTGGATTTTACAGAGGTAACATGATGCAAATACCATGTTTTATAATGTTCCCTCAGTGTCCTAAGTTAGAACCACAAAATCAAACACATTAATAAACATATAGAAAAATAATATACCTTAGTCTTAAATTACATAAATAGGTTCAGGTTAGATTTCGCTGTCAAATGAATTATGAAAAGCCTTTCAGTTTTTTTCAGGATTCAAGAACTGTGGATATGGGACCATAGTCCTGTAATATCAATGTTTATATAATTATAAAGAATCTTCCCCCCCCAAATTTAATTTCAATAACTCTACATAAAAGGTATAATTACCCTGAGTCATTGTATCAAATTTGTGGTGGAAATGGGTAGAATACGACTAACCTGTAATGAAAATAACTATTCACATCTAATTAACTTGTAAATCATTGGTTTTACTCAGCAAACCTGCGTTCTCTCTTTTGCCTTAGATCAACTTAAGGAACTGTACAAGCATTGTGAAAACTACACATTAATACCCCTTTAATCAACAAACACTTAATTGAGTTTCTTCTACATAGCCTGACACTGTGCTAGGCACTAGGTTTTTGAATCAGATAATGCTTCTGTTTACAGGAGCTTTTATCAGAAGGGAAGACAGATAAGCACATTTTAATATTAACTACATGTTGAAATAAAAATATTTTAGATGCACTAGGTTATATAAAATAAGTTATTCAAATTAATTATGTTTACCTATTTCTTTGTTTTAAAAAAATTATGCTCATTAGAAAATTTAAGATTAACCATTGCAGCTCACATTGTTTCTATTGGACAGTGCTGCTCTAAAGCTTCAGTTCTTTCTCCTACAACAGGCTTAAACTGAAAATTTCTAACAACCTTTTCTTTCTTGAAGCTTCCCTCCCTTCCTCAGTTTCTGTGACAATGCACTATGGAGGTTCTCCTCCCACCACTCATTCTCCTCAGCGGGTCCCTCATCCTCTTCCACTCCCCCATTATAAGTGTCCTGAAGGGTCTTCCTGGGCTTCCTTGTCCCCCTCCTTCCTTAGGCATCTCCTCCACTGCTCCAACATCAACTGCTAAGTCTATTTAAGTGATTCACATTTACAGCTCCAAGCCTGTCCATAGGATATTTTCAACTGCTGGCACTTCAGAAGTGATACTTCCAAACCACTTCCTCATCTTCCTCTCTAGACTAGTTCTTTGTTCCTAACTTCCTTATTTCTGTGATCTCCCCACTTCTCCAAACTTAAAGCCTCCTAATCAGCTTTATGCTTTACTCCTTGCTCCGCAATTGGCTGTCATGTCCTGTTCATGTTTTCCTCTTTTCTAAGCCTCTGCCACTACCAAAGATCAAAATCATGTATCTCACCTGGATTATACAAAAATCACCTCAAATCTCTTAGCGTCTCTAGCCCCCCTACCAGGTTAAGGTTATCAAAGCAAACCAAAACTTATCAAAAGCAAATCTCAGAACACCATCCAAATCTGCCTGGAATCTAGGATATGAAGGAGAGGCAGCATTAGAGGTCTTTGAAAGGTTTTTCAGAATATATCCAAAAGAAGTTAAGCCTCCCCCTACAATCGAATATAACAGTAGTGGGAAAGCAGGAGGAGACTGAACCTGGATCTGAGAGAGAGGAAGAGGAGCACAGAAGCTTTGGTAGAATGTTAGATCTTTCCTGCTAGAATGATTCTCAGAGGCCAACTCCAATCCCCCAGTTCTCCCCAAATGTAAATTCACACAGCAATCTAGGACTAGGGGCAGTCATTTAATTTTAATTAAAATTTAGCAATACATCATATCCATTCAGAGGAAAATATACCCAGAATTGTGGTAACTATCCACCCAAGGACCAGAGAACACAAATGGAAAAACCAGAAAATAGATGCCACTTCTATCATCTTTTCTTTAGGAAAGGTGGGTAAGGGGGAAAGAACCATGCACTCAATAAACAGGCTTCTTTTTTCACTGTTAAGGATTTGCTCTTAAGTGGAGGTGGGACGGGATTTAAGTTGGCTGAAATCTGTGAGTTAAGGAGAACTGAAATTGGCTTTTGCAGGTGACTGAAATCAGTCAAATGCAACAGGTTCCAACCTACTTTGCTGTTTTATTCTCTTTCATAACAGCTACTTAACGTGCAGTCTGGGTTGCTGGACCCTTAAGATCCACAGGGCCCCTCTTTTGTAGTACACCTTCTGATATAATGACCTCCTCCTCACTTCAACTCCGAGGGTGAAAACCTTTCCATTGTAAAAGATAATTCAAAAAACAAGATGCCCTTAGCCCGACGTAATCTCTACCTGCCTCAAACTTCAGGGAATATTATGACTTTTACAATTTGCTTTACCGTGTAGTTATTTGCATACTATTCTTATCTCCCACAGTAAACCTTGCACAAGTTATTCATCTTGTCCAAAGCAGGCAAGAACTAAGTTACTTTCCTACAAGAGAAGCGGTATTTATTTGAAAGGAATCTGAGCGGGATGAAAACGCCAAGTATCTAAAACACGTGCAAAGCACTAGACATACATGCCTCGCGACAGTCCGGATCAAGGCAAAATCATGAGACCCTCCTTTTCGCCCCGAACTGAGACAAGAAGGAACTTGGCCCTGGCAGCCACTTGCTTTCTCTGGACAAGGACACACTAGGGGGAGGAGGCGTGGAGTTTCACCAGTTGCTAAGCCAGACCCAGCGCAAGGCGCTTTCTCTTTCTCCTGCTCCACTCCAGGCAAGACGGTCAATCCTGGTCAAGGCACCTGCGCCCAGAGATATCGAAGGGAAACCAGCACTTCCGGACGAAGGCTGCGAAAGGGAATCTCTCTTCAACCCAACCGCGCGCCGCGAGCCAGAGAAACTGGCCGACCCTCCTGGTTCCCCACACGGGGCTCCTCGGTCCCCGCCCGGCCGCGCCCGGCTCCTCATCCTCGAGGACACCGGCTCTGCGGCCCGGGAGGCGACAAAGGGCCGGGCCTGCCCGCAGCCACCCGTGTCGGCACCAAATGAGGGGCGCGTTTCTCTCTCCCCGGACCCCCCACCACACACCTACCTTTGCCTCGCCGCCACCACTATCCTCTCGCAGCCAAGGTTCCTTCCCGAGCAGCTGCTGTTTTGTTTCCGATGTGAAATTTCGGCCTTTGGAGCTCCTCAGCCCAGGCCCCTCCCAAAAGGTTTCATCGGTGTCGTCACTTCCGGCCCTGGCGTCGTTGGCGGGGCCCCACTAGCGGAGGGGACGGGGCCCATAGGAAGGGGTGGAGCTTCCGGTGGTGAGCGGGATTGCCTGGGGAGACCCTGCGTTCCAGCTGGTCTCTTTGACCTGGCGGGAGCCGCCTAGAGTGCCAGCGCGGGTCTGGGGTTTTCAGGGATCTGAGACTGCTCTTGAGCTGAGAATTAAAATTTTTACGTAAAATGGACCCAGCATGTGCTTCTCCCTGCCTCCAAGTGATGGCATCTTAAATCTTTTTTTTCATTTCTCAGTAATACCTATTTGTACAGTGTTTCTTAATGCGAATCAGCTGCACCACAATCAAAAGTATGCTAATTTAAGTTGTCAATACCTATGCCCTCCACCCCTTACCCAGTAAATCAAAATTTCTGGTGGGTAAGAGAACCTGAGAAGCTGCATTTTAAACAAACTTTGTCTAGGATTCTCGGGCTCCAAGACCAGTTTTCCTAGATGGTAAGCTTTCAGAGAGCATAACTTGTCTTATTTTTGTAATTCCAAACCCTAAGAGGGTATCTGGTACATACTGAGCTGCTCAACGGTCCTTGGATTTTTGCATCTGCCGGCTTTCCTTCAAATGGCCATAAAGGCCGTACCAATAACTAACTCCTTAGGTAGCAAACCACACTCATACACTCATCTGAAAGCTAAAAGTAAACAATGCAGACTATCACGTAAAACCAAAGGTGAACAATGAAGAAACACTCACATTCTGATTACACAGGTAATCAGGAAGCTGAAAATGAAATCAATAACATGGCATCTGACCAAATGAGATTTTTATTTCTTTTAAATTCTCCCCCCAAGATAACCATTCATATTCCTAAAGCATCAATCTCCAATCCCTCTCTCGTCCCTGCCCGCCCCGAATACATGAACGGATTTAAATAGCTTTTACACACAACCTCATATTTAAGAACAGAAGTAGCAGTAGTTTTTCCATTAACAGAAAAAGTTGGGAGAAGAATAAGGTTGACATCCCCCCCAATTCTTTGTAGTCCTCATCTCTCCTTTCCCTCCTTAAACTTCACAGGGGTAGGAATTTTTCTGTTTGTTCACATACATTGCTGAATGCCTAGAACAGTGCCTAGCACATAAACAGTTCAATACATTTGTCAAACAAGCATAAACTAAAACCCATCTATTTGTGAACTAGTTCAATCTCTTTGAATGCAATCTGTAATATGAGTAGAAAGTCTTAAAATGCTGGTAAACTATCCTTAGAAACAATCTCAATACAAAAATTTTGTGCAAGCATGTTCACGGAGTATTATCAATAGCAAAAATTGGAATGCTAAACATCCTGCAATAAATTATGACTCACCTACTTTACCAAATGTCAATAAAATTGTTTTTGAAGATTAACAGAAGTGTAACAGAAACACTCATCCTGTTAAAAGCTGAGACATAAGATTTAAGCATATGTCAAAACACATTCCCGCAAAAAGGAAACAAAGGTGATTT